AATTGCTTGGGACAGCCAGCGTGGGGGGTTGGTTAAACTGAGATGTGAAGTGCTCTACCCCGCGTTCCAAGCGTCGATGAAGACTGTTTATTATTATTATTATTATTCGTAGATTGCTTCACTAAAGTACTGTCTTTTAGGGCCTGTAGCACGAATGAGCTGGAATAGTTGTCGGGTGTCTCCACAATTAGCTATTGATTCCATCTCTCTTGCACGTGGCGCCCACCAAGCCTCTCGATCGTCTCTCAAACTCTTTGTGAGTTCACGCTTCAGAAAGAGGCGCTGTTCATTGTATTCGCAATCTGCCGGGATTGCCCGACGCGCGTCGAGAAGTCTGAGAGAATTGGAGGAGACACAGTGATCTACAACTCAGCTGAGTGTATTGCATTTTGAATGGTTGTCCAGTGTTGATCTGCGCTTCTTGGTGGGATAGTAGTTAGCCTTGCGGCCAACTCGTTTTGGTAACCGGATAGTACGGCCGGGTCAGAGAGCTTGGCGACGTCAAGCTGTCTGCATCTCATCTTTTTGAGACCACCACATCGCATAGACAACTTGGCACAAACCGGTGCGTGGTCAGTGTCCAAGCAGGTAGACCAATAAGAACGGCAGTCTTTCACACATCCTCTGTATCTATAGCTAATACCTATATGATCAATCTGACTCCACCTCGGCACCGAAGAGGAGTTACGCTAGGTGGCGAGGTGACGCTTAGTGTCTGAAGTCCGTGCGGGCTATACAGGGTGGCTTCTAACAGCCGTGTGTTTTCACCCTAGGGCGGACACTCCAGCAAATAAAAACGGAGCAACAGTTTACCGGTCGCCCCCTCCCCACAGAATCAGCCACACCAGGTGGAGGTAGAGTGGTTTCCACCCAAAGAAAGAAATCGTCATTGTTCTAAAGGTCTTTGTGCCGTGATTTGTTCGATACAGTCTAAACTCAGAAGTGATATACAAATATGTATGTGTGTGTCCCGGCTCAGTGCGTAACTATACTCACGATTCTCTTCCATTGCACACGAGATTGCCTAGGCAGGGGAAATCATCCATCATATTTAATTTCTAAATTTCGATCAAATGGTTACCCTGAAGATGGTAACTATAACCGGAGCATGGAAGTGCGCGGTTAATTGTTGTGCAATATTGAAACTAAAATCGATCAGGGATAAGCGTACGGAGGTCAGGCGATTGGTACATCTCTTCTCTATCTTTCTCTTACTTCGATCTCCAATTTGGTGGAGTAGCAGTTCCTTCTGTTGTTGCTATTATCGGTAACTATAGTAGACAGGTGCATATGACGCAATCGTTTCGTAATGCACAGATTGAAAGATAGTTTACTGTTCTAAACATTTGATCCAGTGAACTCACTTTTATCTCCATCTTGTTCGACTTTTGCAGTGCCACGGGTGTCATTTGTGAGCGACATCTTTTCCAACATTGATTTTAGACTGGGCGCAACTTCAACATGCAATCGTTGCATGCATTCGGTAGCCGCAGGGCGGTGGATAGGAACGTTGATTGGTGGGGGAACCACAACTGGTACGGGTAGAACAGGTTCTGAGACCTGGAGTATATCAATCAATGTAAACATCGAATGGCGGTGAAGGAAAAGAATAAATCGGTAAAATTTCACAAGGTGTTTGGTGTAGCATGCAAATTTGTATATGAGATAAAAATAAGACAAGACACAAATTGATAATGAACAAAACCTGAAATCCTTGATTAGTGTAGCCGAAAATTACCACGACTGCAAGTCCCGACTTTTAGTTCACACATAAATATGATATATATATATATATATATATA